AGAGAGAGAGAGAGAGAGAGAGAGAGAGAGAGAGAGAGAGAGAGAGAGAGAGAGAGAGAGAGAGAGCTTTTTTATTTTTATTTTTTTGAAAAATTAAACAAAGCCCGCTACTGGCTACAGACCGCGGGCCCTGCGCGCAGAGTTTTGGCGGCGCGTAGGGCCGCCACCGGAGGCCAAGTGCGCAGAAAAGCAAAGTGGCTGGGAAAGGTACTGGCGGTTTAATAAAAAACTGGCCTATATTCTGCTCTCAATTTTCCCTTTCACTATCCACCTACCACTACTACTTAGCGTATACAGCACAGGGCCCCCCTGCAAGCATAGCTACCTCTCACAATTAAGCGGATGCATGTTGCCCCCCATCCTAATCGGCAGTGTTCAGGGAGTAGGGTGGGGCCGCCAGTGCGGGGTCCGGCTATGTGTAGACCGAGCATTTTGCCAGTAACTGTGCCTCCCATATACTTCCCCCACCCTGACCCCCCTACCTGTTCGAGCTGAAATAATTCTTTGGGGGGAAGGGGGCTAAAGCAACCTGCATGCCCTTTCCCCCCCCCCTTTGAAACAATGAAAATGAAACAAAACACAACCCATCATCAGTTCCAGAATCTCTGTGAAGGCAGACAAACGGGCTCTCTTCCCCCTAGATCGACAAAGAGGGCCTCGCTCCACCGCACAACATTTTACACATGCATGTGGACTGAACTTTAGACAACAGACATCAAACATCTTGAATGTATTTGGCCCCACTATTTCCTCCAGATACATTTTAATGTTGCGCCGAGAAGCGACGCCCCGATTCTGCTCCATGGAGTCGTGCGCAGCCATGCAGGCACGTACCCCCCCCCCTCCCGCCCGCGTAGGGTGCCGATTCTGTGATGTCATGTTCTTTTTTTCTAGTGTCACACCCACACCCACACCCACACCCACCCACACACTGTTTTGAGTGTATAGTAAATATGACAACACACGCACGCACACACACACAAAAAAAACAAAAAAAAAAAAAAAACATACGACTGTTTCGCCGGCGGACATACTGCCATTCCCATTCTTGTCAGGGATTTGGACCGACAGACTGCGCAGAATTTCATTTGACCGACGGATACGGACCCACCACGTCGCCCAGAGTTGGCCTGAGGGCATACTCACACTACGACTTTTTTCCGTACTTCGGTCGGAATTGCGCCCAGATACAGGCAGCTATGGTCGTGAATGAGGCCCGAAGTTACATTTGAGAAGCTGCTACGGTAATGTGAGTACGCCATTAGAGAGAGAGAGAGAGAGAGAGAGAGAGAGAGAGAGAGAGAGAGAGAGAGAGAGAGCAAAGTGGTGGACTTTACTCACCCCAACCCTTCTCCAGTTGTAATATCGGTAGTCCCACCCCGTGACTGACAAGAGTGGGAGCAGCACGTAAGTCTGTCTCTGTCTGTGAAACTACTACCTAGCGTAGGTAGCGTAGTCTTTCAAGGCCATAAAGCGCTGCCACCGCCATGGACACACATTCACAGGAATCACAGCCATTAGGCCCTGCCAGGGAGACATTCACGGCCATAAGGCCCTGCCACTGCCATGAACATTCACGGTCATAAAAGCCTTGCCATGGAGACATTCGCGGCCATAAAAGCCCTGCTATGGATGGCCACCACTACCGGTACCACTGCGGTAGCATGACCGCTACGTAGTACTACTGGTCGCCACCCTACGTAGTTGCAACGATCAGCCTGAG